TCCCCACAGCCTTAGAGAACTAGAGGGTCCCAGCCAGGCTACAGTGGCCTGTCCTGAGTTCCAGAGATTAAATGATTACTGAGTGAAAACTAGGTGTGTCTTGACAATTCCTTGAACTCAGTGCTATACATGTTTATGTACATGTGTGTGTGTGACAACATACATTTCTTCAGGGGCAGAAGAGCCCAAGTTCTTATCGTAGAATGTTCTGGAGGTTCCAGTAAGAATAAAGAAAGTGACACCATGCACAAGTACATCTGTACTCTGGACACCCATGTTCAGTCCTGAGGAACATCTGGATACACACACCTTAAATTTGTCCTCCAATGAATAAGAGATGGTATCCTGAGGTTGGCTGGGCAGCTGGGCATGCTTCATCTCCCCCAACCCCACCACCTGGCTTAGGAGATGACCCCAGTGCTCCAGCACCCCCATAAAATACCTTCTCAAGGGGGAAGGGGCCTGAGAGCAGTCACCTTCCCTTGACACTGCTGGTAGGAGCCCAGTTGCATGAACTGTGCCAGGGATTCAGGCTAGCAGTGGACAAAGTGGAAATAGTTCTCATCCAATTGGGCAGAACTGTCCGGGCACCCCTCCACTGTGGCCTGGCACTCTGGCCAATCCAGGGAAAGGAGACCCAGGCCCTCCAAAGAATGGACTGCAGATAGGAGCTGCCCAGCTGTTCCCAGGCCTGTGGGCCAGATTGGCTATGCCACAGGAGCTGACTGCCTCCATCCCTTGGCTGCCCAGGGGCCTCCCCAGACAGGACAAAAGTAGATGCTGCTGCCATGCTGCCTGGCCAGGTTTGTGTCCATACCTGGTTGACTTTAAGCCTTGCTCCAGCCATTGCTCGACTCCGCCTGCAGAGTCCAGCCTTCCTCTGGGAGCTGGGGTGCTGGTTTATGGACCTGCTCTCCCCTCTGTCTCTGTTGTATCAGCCACAGTCTCTCCTGGGGCAACCGTCCCAGGATGTGGTTGCCTGTGATGCGGTACCTGCCAGTCAAGACTCCCCACCACTGCTGGGGGGATTCCTAGGGGAGGAGCCGCAGCTGCGGCTGGCAGGGCATCCTCCTGTCCTGAACCACTGGGAAAAATTTTTGCTCCAAAGCCTGGGTTCTACTCCCTGTGCTGTTCTGTAAATCCCTGTGCAGCTTCAGACCAGCGCTCACCTTCTCTGGTCCTTTGCTAGCAGAAGCTTGACTGCTGGGCACCAGCCCTACTGTTCAATAGAAGAAACTGAAGTTGGGAACTGGTCTTTTTCTCAGGTCTATTTGCTTGGCATGGTGTGGCCAGGCCCTGGCTGACACTCAGCGTGGCCTCCTGAGGGTGGTGAGATCGATGGTAAAGGATGTCTGTGTCTGCTGTTGTGTGCCAGGCTAGAACCATGTGCCTTTATGCAAACCTTACAGTTCATTTACATCCTTGAGATGTCTGAAAGAGCCCCAGTGGATGGGAGGTGGGGGAGGTGGAATGGGGGTGAGTGGCGATGAGGAGACAGGCCAGGAGGAATTTGAAAGATTATCTAGCCAGAACCAGCATAGACATGGCTAGGAGGCTCCTTCCCTGGCAGGCTGGTTTCCAGGCTCTGAGGCCAGAAAGCTAACCTGCAGGACAGACCTGACAAACTCCACTCTCCACCCATGATGTTACCATGTCTGCAGATTCATGAAGACCCCCATGAGGGTCCTCAAGGTGGGCAGGGACACTGGGATGGGACCAATCCTCGGGATCCCCTCTAGAATTGACCTTGAGCCTCCGCCTGGCAAGATGGGATAGGGTCTTCTTGGCTGGGAGGAGCAGGGGAGCCCCTGTGTGAAGGGACCAGTTCAAAGTCATCTCAGTGGAAAGTTTCTCTCCCACCACATCCTTCAGCTGTTTACAGGGTGGCGGGGGCCTGGCATCCTGACATGAAAAGAGGCTCACCCCTCACCATTGTGGAGGAAGGACCAAAATAGCAGCTAGGGGAGGGGGACAGGGTAAAAGAACAAATATCAGGGGCAAGGTGCATCCCACAGCTTTGGTGAGTCCCAGCCCCGTGCTGCAAGCCCCAGGTTTTCACTTCTTCCGTGAGAACTATGAAGCCCAGAAAAGTCTTCAAAGTAGGTCAAGGTCACCTAGGTGGGACTGTTGGGCCTGGTTTAGTCCACAAGCTATTGCCCAGGGCACAAAAGATGTGTGGGAAGACTGGCTGGAGGGGCCAAGTGGGTTGGAGTCGCAGGGACGGTCAGGAGTTAGGTCTTCTTGGGTAAGGATTATGGATGACCTAGAAGAGTCAAGTCATCCTGGATGCAGGTGGATGTCCCCCACCCAACCCAGGCTCATGTGACCTCGGCCACCCCCAATCCAAGGATGGAGAGGGCTCTGCCTCCTAGAGGTCACCAGCTTCCAAGCATACCTCTGACAGTGCTCTCCGAAGCCTCAAGCTTTCTGTGTGCTGTATCATTCAGTAGAGGTGAGAAACGTGAGGCAAACGCACCATGTTCTTCCACGGTCATACAAACACTCTCCAGACAGCTGGCTTCACGTCAAGGAGTTTCAGCTAAGCTCCAACCCAGCCCTGCAGTCTCCCTGACTGGGTGTAACAACCATTCCCCTGGATTCCAGCTCTCCCTCACCTCTATCCCTCCTCTGACCTTCATCCCTCCTCGCTTCCATCCCTCCCCTGATCTCTATCCTTCCTCTACCTTCATCCCTCCCCTGATCTCCATCCTTCCTCTACCTTCATCCCTCCTCTAGCCTCTGTCCCTCTCCTGACCTCAGTCCCTCCCTCCCTGACCTCTACCCCCTCACCTGGTTTCCATCCTTCCCCTTAGCTTTCCTATGCCCTCAAAGTATGGTACCCACTGTGCCTCTTGAGAACGAGAACCTAAAATATCTGTATCATAGTGCCCCTTAATCCTTGGTCACAACACAGTTATCCCCTTTGTGACATGACCTCAATGGTCACCTTTTGCTCTCCCAGACCTGTAGCCCTACCTCTGGCTAGAATCCTGACCCCTAAACTTGGCTCTATGCTTCCTGCCTTGATCCTTATTCCTCCTACTTCTCTGCAGATTGAGGCAGCAGGAGGGACCAGTTATAGACACACAAACATCCGACAGGGAGGCCTGTACTCTACAGGACTATCCTTCATCAAGAGCAAGCCAACTCTCTTGGGGCCTAAGGCCAGCCGTACACACACACACACGCACACACACACGCACACACACACACACACACACACACACACACACATATGCATAGTGGGTACAGTCAGTGCAGAGCCTCAGCAGCCAGGTTGCCCTGTTAATGGGAGCAGCCAAGGCTCTGGCAGTAGCGAGCTCTCTAGAGAGGATGATAGCAGTGACACTGGCTCTAGGTCCTGCCCTGTGAAGACTCTGAGTGATTTTGCCAGGGGCTTCTGAGAACTGCTTGTTCCTACTTGGCTTTCCCTACTTGTCTGACTCGAAGCCTGATGTCACAGCTGGCTCCCTTAAGACTGACTGTTAAAGTTCATGTTCAGCCTCGCCCCCATCTAGGGGCACATCCCTGCCACCCAGAGCAGCTAGGGGAGAACCTAGCACAATGAGATGCAATCTTCCATCTCTGAGATGGGCTCCCTGCTCACAGTGTAGGACATTCACAGTGTCAGCTCCTTGTTTCTCTGTCAACCACTCTAGTGAGGTAAGGACACAGGGCAGAATACCATTGATTCAAAGCACTTCCTTGGGCCATTTTCCTCATGTGTCTTCAAGATTTTATCTATGAACTGCTTGTTCCTCTGGGCCCCTTACTAGATTTTCCTTAAACTCATTTTGTAGAAAATAAAGTAAAAATAAATTTATTTTCAATGGGATCTTTAGCATTTTACGAAGCATCTGACATGTGTTTATTGAAAGATAAAATACAAAGACTCAAGGGCAGCTTCCTTTCAGAGGGGCCTGAGAGAAGTAACCATGGAACAAGGTTTTCCTTTGCTAAGAAGCCATTAATGGGCAGGTACAAACAGGGTGAGGTCTACAGGTCATGTAACAGGGAACAATCAGGGTCAAGTTTCATACTCCAAAGGTGTGCTGGAGTGTGTAAAAAAATATTCTTGCTTTTAGAAAAAACACCAGTTATCTTAACATTCAGGAAGCTGAGGCAGGAGGATGACAGGTTCAGGATCATACAAAACTATATAGTGAGTTCAAGGCCAGCCTGGATGGGAGGAGACCCTGCCTCAAAAATAGACAGGCAAACACTCAGGGCATTGCTTTTCCACTAGAGTCCTGTTCAGTGGCTGTGGATTCTAGAATGTTCTTTTCAGGAGCTCTCAGCATGTGCTGTTGACATCAGTTCCATGTGGAGTTCAGGAACCTAGAAGACAGGGACTGTGTCCTTGGAAAAGTCGTCCTCTGAGCATCTTTGGTGTGGAACTGTCTCCAGCAGAACTGACCTCTCTGAATCCTACATTCCTGGGGTCCCAGAAGTCTGAGGTGCTGACCTTGAGGCTAGTACATATCTCAGAGGTAGATGAAGAGCTGGGTAGGAAGAGAGAAAATCAACAGCTCCAGGAGACAAGGGGCAGCCCACACAAATCACACTCAAGAAAACTGAGCTTCAAAAGTTTGCCCTGACTCCTGGCTCCAGCTGGCTCTGCTCCCTTCTGCCCACCAGCGCAGCTTTCTCTCCATCTGCCTCAGGCCATATTTCCCTTTAAAACAACTTATTTTTTTAAAATTATTTTAAGATTTTCATAGATGGCATGGAAAATTTCCCTACACCCTGGGCTCACTTTCCTGTTATGTACCACTTGCACAAGCAACATGAATTTATCACAATTAAAGGAATAGCAGCCAGGCACGGAAGTACAAGCCTATAATCCCAGCCCTTGAGAGCTGAGGAAGGGGATGGAGAAATCAAGGCCAATAGCAATCAGTCTGATCTTTTTTCCAATCCTTACACCAAGAGTCTGGGTCCAAAACCTAGGGACGACTGGCATCTTCCACCCATGTCAATGGGACACACAGTCAGCCACTATGACAGATGTTGTCCTTGTGTGCCAGCCTGAGGCTGCTCCTGTCAGTTTCTCAATGGTGAAGCTACAGTTTTCCAGTCCTGTTTGCTTGGAACATTCTAGAAGGAGCCAGTTGTTCACAGTCCACAATGAGATTCTATTCCATGTCTGTCTGCATGAGCAGAGCTTACATAAAGGTTCAGGTTATTTCCCACTCGTGTTCCGGGCAGTTCTTTGAATGCTTGATGCTCAGGCCCCCACAAAATGCTCCTGGCTTTCACAATTACATGAACCTGGGAGGCATCATGGTAAAAGAAATGGATGAGACAGGAAAAGGTAAATGCCTTAGGGAACCTTAAGATATCCAACAACAGAGAGAGGGTCCAGGGGCAGCTATGGGGGGGGGGGAAATGCTGCTTAACAAATATGCATTCAGTTCTCCAATTGTGCAAATGAGTGGCAGTGATGGGGGCAGGCGACTGGGAGCAAATTCAGTATCATTGAAGAACCTAGACTAGCCTCCATGTGGGGCTGCCCAGGATCATCTGGCCCACGTGACCTCCAAGGCATCTACCCCACCGTATGTACAGCCAGGGAAGGTCTTAGGTTAATTGTCTCTCTTTGTTTAAGAAGCAGGCTTGTTTCTTCCTTTGACATGTGTTTCTATAAATAGGCTACCCTTCTACCTGAACATCTGTGCCCCACAAAAGGTTTTCAAACATCACAATGAGTGTCACTGCCTTCCTTCATTCCTGCCCCAATTTAAAACAAGAACCCAGAGTCATCACCCTACACCACCTCTGTCACCTTCCTACCCTCTTCTCAATTTGAAATTCCCTGACATCACCCTTGGGTGTCCTTCTCCAGCCTATAGGCACTCAGGCCCCACCAGAGCTGTGAGTAATACATCTGAACAGGAAGGTCCCCAAGTTCATCTCTTTTTAATTAAGCAAGATGAACCAATTCATCTTGGAAATGAAATTAGAATCTTGTAATTAGAAGTGAAGCTTCAAAGGCGCAGAGTGAGACTCATATGCTACTATCCCACAGGCCGAGGCAAACCGGGGGGGGGGGGGAGGAGGACAGGATCTCACTATGTGGCCCAGGCTCACTCTAACTCAGGCCTCCCTGTCTCAGCCTACAAAGTATAGGCCTGTGCTGCCATGGCCAGCTGAGAAATGGTTTTTGTACCACACTCATACAGAACAGAAGCTACCCCACCCCTGTTCCCACATTCTTCTCAGTTTTCACCGAATTTGCAAATATATCACCTGCTCATGTTCAAGGCCTCCTTGTTCTTCCTATCCCTCACTTGCTTGTGTAACAGCCCTCAGTGGCAGTCATAGTTCTTAGTCCCAGGAAGACTCAAACCCAGCCAGACTGAGTCTGAGACTTCCTCTCTTACCACTGTTAGCCTCTCTTCCCTCTCAGACACCAAGGGTGTGGCAAGACAATGGACCCTCTAATACACCCATTCAAGGACATCTGATTTTCCTCCACCAGGACAGTGCCCCCACAAAGACCAGAAAGCAAAGCTTTATGTGTTCTGCAACAATTTTATCGTCACCATCTTAGCAGCCACCCCCTCCCCAGGATCTGGATCTGTAGGTGCAGTGCACCTCCGGTCTGAGAGGCTTCCTTGGGGGATGGGGGGTTACAAAGGGACCTTTGGCAACATCTTAAGCAGTCAAGGAGAAAGTGCTCATTGGCACACAACCCCAGAGGCCCACCCCTCACTTCCAGGAGTGACAGACAGACATAGCTGCCATAGGGGCTTCAGATCTACCAGACCCAACTTCACCTCAGCATCAACAGAAACTGTTACCAAGATGCCCAGCAAGGAGAGATGCAGTGTCCTAATGAGTTGCCTTTGAACACATAACCCTCTCTTCTCTCTAGAGGAGGGGGTGAGGCCCAAGGATTGCTGGCAAATTCTAGGACTTTGCCCAGCTTTGGAGATGAGGTCATTGGTCTGAGAGAGCCTCACAGGCTACAGTTGAGATATGAGTCCATGTAGACCTTTCCCTCTGTAAGCCTCAAACTGGCAATCCAGAGGCCAATCGATGTATAGATGAGCATTTGTCTTGCAATGCTGAGGATGAACCCATGTCCCCACACATGCCAGGGAAGCGCCCGCCACTAAGCTCCAAGCTCAGCCTTTCCATCATTTTTAAAATTTTTATGTTTTTGGAGATAGAGTCTCACTAAGTTGCCCAGGTTGACCATGGAGTGGGTGACAGATATATGTGCCAGTCCTCGAGCCTTTTGTACCAGGGTGGGACTGGCATTGGTATAGTACCCTTCCAGTTTACTGTGCTTGGCTTCCCTGAGGCTGCTACAGTCCAGGAAGTTTGAACCTGGGAAGGGGCCATGAAAGGCATCCAGGGACACTGCAGGGTGCTTATAAGCAAATAGACAGATTTATACAAATGTTCATCTGTCCTCCACAAATACTGAAACCAAAGGTTCTGGGAAGAGTTCCTTCCCAAAACGTCCACAGCCAACTCCACTGCCCACTGAGGGGCCACTAGTCCCTGGTCCTTGTTCAGTAAGAGGCCTGCCTTCTCTAGAGTCATTTTAAAAGATGGCTTCTCCTGGGAGATACTGGTCATGCATACCAGAGCACAAACTGCTTTCTTAGAGTTCTTAAATTCTTAGAGCTTAAACACAGCCCAGAGACTACGCTGTCCAAACAATGCACTTTTGCAGGTTCAGCTATTGGTCAGGAACCAAGCAACAGGACCAGTAAATACCTTAGGATTTGATGGCCACACAGTCACTAGTGGAAATCAGTTCTACTGTTGTACCATAAAAAGCCATGCCCAAGCTCCATGCAATAACATTTGTTCCTACCCAATTTATCTAGGACTCTTTAAAAAATGAATTTTGAGACGGGCAGTGGTGGCACACACCTTTAGTTCCAGCACTTGGGAGGCAGAGGCAGGCAGATTTCTGAGTTTGAGGCCAGCCTGGTCTACAGAATGAGTTCCAGGACAGCCAGGACTACACAGAGAAACCCTGTCTCGAAAAACTAAAAAAAAAAAAAAAAAAAAAAACCTAAAAAAAAAAAAATTGAATCACTGGGACCTGGCCATCCATCTTTCTTCCTTTTTCCGCTGTGTGGAAGGTGGAAGGTGCTTCTGGAGGCCTCATGCCCCCTGGTCTCCAGCACTGACTGACAGCAAGTTGCACGTAGGCCCTCATGTTGTAAAGCTGTTTTCTGCATCGTCTTAAAGGCTTGCTGAAGCAGGATATGATTCATACCGCGTGTCCAATTTCATATTTTCAAGACTGAAATTTTAAAATAAAACTTACATCATTCTCTCAAAATAAACTCAGTGAGCTAGAATTCTGATACCCAGAAAACTTACATCACTCATTTTAAAATAAACTTAGTGGGACAGAACTTATACCTGTCCCTGTCTGTCAGCACATCACCTCAGCCCCTGCCTCCTTGAACTCTTAATCCACTCTTTATGGAGCCTTTTTATCTTTCTTTATTTTTAGGTTTGTGAGAGGCAGGTGGTGGGAGAGGGGAGGTGTTGACAATGGTGCAAAACAGAAAACATCCTAAAGTTCAGTAGGGAGATGGGTTGGCACAGCCTCCATGAAACGCTCTGTGGGGGAATGAAAGACAGGGGCCAGATTCGATGTCTTAGAGAGAACCAGCACACTATCAAGCTAGAAAGTGAGGTAAGCTAAGCACAAACACACACACACACACACACACACACACACACACACACACAGCGCCCTCCCACCCGGGCTAACACAGGCCCTGTGTAGACGGCTTCACTCCTTCCCCTGCTCTCCAGCTGCATTTCATGCTCTATAACCATCTTAATTATGTAGTTGGCCCTACATGGGAAAACCTTAAAAAATTAAAAATCAACTTGGCTGACATCTAACATACATACAATAAAACGCACCCACTTTGAGTGACAGTTAGGGACTGGGGAGAGGGTTCAGTGGTCATGAGCACCTTCTGTTCTTGCAGAGGGTCTGAGTGACGCTACTCATACTCACTCTGGAGACTCACAGTCACATGTAACTCTAGTGTCAAAGGACCCAACACCCTCTCCTAGCCTGCAGGATGAGATTTCATTTCTCTGGGGCAAACTCTCTCATTTGTTGGTGTTATATATAGACGTCCCTTCATTGCATAAGAAACTGCCAGTCCTAAGGAAAACCCACTACCATTGTCTTGCTAAATGGACACCCTGTTAACCTGCCTTCTAAACACTTAAATGTTTCCATGCATAGATTAGTGCTGCTCTCAACCCTGGCCAGAGAAGCTTCTCTCTGCAGTGGGCAGCGGCCAAGAGACTCATAACAGTCAAAGAGTATTGACTCATGACTGTCAAAGACTGAGTATTGAGAGTTCAGCCTCAAACCGGACATAGATATCAAATCCCTCCCTGGAGACTGAGGGACCAGTTCCAAAGAGGGATGGAAAGAATGCAAGAGCCGAAGGATGGATGGGGAGGACAACGTGCTATGACATGATGCCTTCTGGATGTGACATGGCCGCTGCACACATGAATTCCCTGTAGCTACAGGTACCTGCTTAAGATCTAGCCAAGAAAACAAGGCAGCATTTCAACAGAATGTGAACAGGGGAGGGTGTGGGTGACATGCTGGGGTCCCTGGGGGTGGGTAGGATGATCTGAGGACGGATGAGATCAAGACATATTGCATAGATGATGTCAAAAATTAGAATATATTCTCTTTTTAAAAGCAATTAAAAAGTCAAAAGACAAAAAAAAGAGAAAGTCATAGAGGAAAAAAATTACAAGACAAACTCAGTTTTGTGTTTACATTTTTCTGCATCGAAGGTAGATAGATTTTTTGTTTGGTTGCACATGTACCTTTAAAAATGTGTTCTTGTGTGTGATTAAAGTAGAAAAAAGAAAAGAAACTACTGAAGCTTTCCCAGAGTGGGAGCACATCACAAGGTCAGCTACTTGTTCAACATGGCTTTTTGTTTGTTTTATTTGTGGTTTTGTTTGCAGCAGAACATCCGAAATCTAGAAAAGAGGTTAAACAGTGACTGTTCATTGCAATCCTAAATGAACACTTGAATCATAGCTTATAGTTTAGAGCCACTTCACCTAAGAAAATGCTTAGCGGTTGAAGGAAGAAGATACATTGAGCCTCGGGGATGTAATGACCTTTTATAGGTTTTATGTATATATTTAAAAACAGTCTCACTGTGTAGTCCTGGCTGGTCTGGAACTTGCTGCCTAGACCAGGCTTGCTTCAAACTTACAGAGATCTCCTTGTTTCTACCTCCTGAGTGCTCAGTTTAAAAGCATGTGCCACTACACCTGGCTATAATAATGATTTTTACCTCTCATGGATAAAAGCTACTGTTATTTGTTATATAAAAAAATTAAGACCGAAAAGAATAAAATTAGGACTGCAGATCTTAATCACCATGATGCGACTTTCCCCTTCGTCGTTTGCCAGATGTTTGTATGTTTAATGAGATGTAATGTACTTTTAAATGTGATATAATCAGTTCCTAAAACACCCTCCTTATTTTCAGGCACAGGATCCATCAGGGTAAAATTTAAAAATTACATACAAAAGATAAGTGGGGCTGAGGTAAAGCCCAGTATGTAGAAGGCTGCCCCGCACAGCTGAAGCCCCGCTTCGTCCCCAGCCCCACACAGACCACGCACAGTCATCCTTAGTTGTATGGCAACTTTGAGAACAACTGAGGCTTCTTCAGACCTTGTCTAAAAAAAACATTTAAAGATTTGTAAAGACAGAAATAGAGGTTCCTCCCCAAGGCTAACAGCCCACAGTTCACCTCTTCCCAATGCCTCAGATGTGTTAAGTCCTTCACACTCAGACACACTACAACGTGAGCACCGAGAGCTTTAGACACGTACAATCTTGAAAAGATGAAGTTTTTCACATATTCATTAACAAACTATTTATTTTATGGATGTAGTAGGCATACATGTGCCATGGTGCACAGAAGAGAGGTCAGATGACACCTTGTAGAAGTTGCTTCTCTCCTTCGCTGCTCCCCCACCCCCTCCCTGTGAGTCCTGCCTCTGCTTCCCAAGGGCATTGAATTAAATTAGAGGTATTAACTAAAAGAATTAAAGAAATGTGCTACTCAGCTTGTTGTTCTAAAAAAAAAAAAATGAAGTAATTGTAAAGAGAAAAAAATATTTACCAGTGAGTAGATTTTTGGCGTGTGTGTGTGTGTGTGTGTATTAAAAATGTCCATTAAGCATATGTGTGTGTGTGTGTGCATGTGTCTGTGCTTAATGGACATTTTTAATCTTTTCTTTTTAACTGCTTACGTTTTCATCTGCCCCTGAGGCTCTTATCTTTTAAGTATTTGTCTGTTTTTGAGTCCCCGGCATGTAAAGCGGCACCACAGCCCGTCAACACTCAGCAAAGGTTAAGAGAACTGAAGTGAATGAGGTACCCATCCTCTTTCCTGTCGTTCTTTCTTATCAGAGACCTTAGACTTTTGCTCACATTGCTTTGTGGTTTACAGAATTTACAGATCTATTTCTATTTTTCGTTTGGAGCCTGCTTCACTATTTATCCTCTAATCAGATAAGCACCTCCTAGACCCCCCACAGTCCTGATGGTGAAGCCCAGAACCTCATGCATGCCAAGCAAGCTCCCGGCCACTGGCTGCACCCCAGCCCCAGCCCTGAAACCTGGAATGGAAGTTCCTTTCCAGCACTCCTATTTTCTTAAGAGTATCTTAGAGCCATGCAGGTGATGCATGTCTGTAATCCCAAGACTCAGGGTGCTGAGGCAGGAGGATCCTGTGTTTAAGGCTGTCTTCGGCTACATAGGAATACCAACTCAAGAAAAGAACATTGTTGGTAAAGTTTGCCAATGAATACTTTGGTTAACTTTGGGATTATTTAAATGCACCATCAGTGCCACCATCACTGTCTACACATGCTATCTGGGTTAAGGAAGGCTGCTTTTGACCTGTGGGTCTTGAGGTCCAGCATCCATGGATCTTCATTTATCTCAGGCTTCCCCTCTGGTCCCTGAGTTTTTACTGGAGTGACTAGAGGTTTTGAAGCTCACATTCCCTAACATTTATTATATTCACTGTCTGTCAGTCAATCTGCCCCCCATGTGTGTGTGTGTGTATGTGTGTGTGCGTGTACATGCACACGAACACCATGTGCATCTAAGAGTCTCTGAAGGTCAGGAGATACCTCAGATCCCCTAAAACAAGAGTTATAGACAGTTGTGAGCAGCCACATGACTGTTGGGAACCGAACCTGGGTCCTCTGCAACAGCAGTAAGCTCTTCTTAACCGCTGAGCCACTTCTTCAGCTGTTCTTCTCTTATTGTTTTGTTTTGTTTTGTTTTGTTTTTGAGCTAGGCTTTTGTATAGTTTAGGCTAAGCTTAATTTCAATATGTAGCTGAGGATAACCTTAATCTCCTGATCGTCCTGGCTCCACCCCCTAAGTGCTGAGATTACAAGCATGCACTACCACACTTGTTTTTCAGGTTCTGGAATAGAACCCAGACTTCATGCACGCTAGGCAAACAGTGTACCAACTACACCCAGCCCAATTAGTAAAGATATATATATATATATGTGTGTGTGTGTGTGTGTACGTGTACATGTATATGTATGTATATATGTATGTATGTGTATGTATGTGTATGTATGTATATGTATGTATATGTATGTATATGTATGTATATATATATATATAATCAGTCCCCTAAACGATGAACTTGGGTAACATGGGCACCTCTCACACAGGCAGTTGGAAGGTGCGGGAAAGACTATCTTTTGAAGTGGCTGGAACATGTATACTGAGGGTTTTAAATTCAAGCTCACGTTGCTTTGTAATTTTGAATTGAAAGCTCTGTTTCTGTTTTTCTTTGGGAGCCAAAAGCTGGCCTTACTCTGTGTGGTTTCACCGAGAGAATGACATTTAGAAACTGCTAAGAAACCAGGTGTCTAGCATCTACAAAAGCCATTTAGCACACTCTGGTATGGAAAGCATAGAGATTTAGACAGCTTAGAAATGATTCTCTTTTAAAACTCAGCAGGGTGGGCAGTGTTGTCTGTGGGGCTCTCAGTGTCAAACTGGACAGGATCCTTATTAATTTTTTAGGGTATATTAATTGTACAAAATGTAAGTTTGGTTTCCCAGTTTTTAATAATTATTTTCCAAGTTTTAGACCATGAGCATGTTTCCTTGATACCTGTTTTGTTCATTTGCCTGCTTGCTTGTTTATTTGGGAGACATTTCTTATTATGTAGTGTAGTCTGGCCTCA